AAACTTCCCATTCCACTTCCGTAAAGATTTCTTCAGTTCTTCCCCGAAGTTGAATCTCAGGGGGAGCAGTTATATCAGCCGTTCCTGGTGTTATGCTAGTAATAATGCTTATCGTGCCACTAATTTGCTAGAAGGCCTAGAATTTACTTTATGGTTCTCAGCACATTTTACAGTCGGTCAGATTTAAGCATTTGTACTGTTAACATCGTAATAATATTGTAATAATTTTGGATGAGTACCCACATTTTTGAGATTTGTATTTGCGAAAAATAAACTTTTTTAAAAAGCGATCTCGAGGCATCGATCTTATAACTCATGTTTCCAAGAAGGCTTTTAATCAGTATTTTAATTTGTTCTTGATGATTTCAGGATGCAATTAAACTTCGTATGGAGCTCGACAATTTTGTAATTTACATTGACAATTGTTTTTTAATTTCATTGAATTGTGATGTATTGTACAATTAATTATAATCGTATAAGAATATTCCGGCTAAAAAGTATTATTGTATTATATTCTGATATAAATATCCCTATGTTATCATCTTGTCTAAATTTAGAGTACACTCATCTCATATTTCGAAATATGCGTTATGGTTTAATACGATCTACTATGTAGCAGTTCCCAGAAACATTCCTGACAGAAAAAAACTTGCGGCTAATAAAATTAAAATTCAGCTAACGAACTTAGTATATAAATAGAAATTAACATCATCGTGGACCCCGAAAAAAAACCGTTAACACAAGATTACTCAAATGGAAAACCGTAAATGATAAAGCATCTATCTCACTCCCTGGTCCACTAGTTCGAATGTGTCTGATTTTTTAAAGTACTTACAACTTACAAGATATTTTGATTTCCAGGATGTGATGAATATTCTATCTTTTATTATATCCCTGAACGTTAGTATAACTTTTTAGAATACAAATTTTTGTGTTTCGGTCATCCTAACTTAACTTTATTTCATTCGTACAACGTTTCGGCCAGCTAGGCCATCCTCGGGTACATAAAGTATTATTATAATGAGTTTTTCATCAGGCTCTTAAAACCTGTATGCGCACGTGAGTACCAGAGATCTGTGAGCAAATTTTAAAAATGGGACGATAAACCCATTATAAAGATACTTTATGCACCCGAGGACGACTTAGATAGCCTAAACGTTATACGATAATATAAATTTAAGTTGACCTAAACCCAAGAGTTTTATTCTGAAAAATATTATATTCTTACTCGTTTATCTTGCAGAAAAATAATGAGTGGAGTGCTCTTAGGTTTATACCTCTAACCCCGGGACCACTGAATGTGTTTTTGAAATTTTTCCTACTACGCCATATATTAAAAACGGCGTCAAGTAGGTTCACTCTGCACTTCCTACTCAACGCCGTCATCAGTTCATGAGGGATTAAGCTCAGCGCAATTTAAATGCTCTGAGAAAAAAAGTTCGTTATGAACAGGTAAAAGCGAGAAATTAAACGGATCAAGTCTGTCAAAGAGCCCATACAATTAGTCCACAGACATCCTTTACTTGCCCTACCGGTAGGTTCTGTCCATCAGGCGACGTTGTCCATTGTCAGATCCGCGCGGCAGCACCCACCGCTGCACCGCTGCAACGAGTTACTTTTAATTTCGTGTATATGTTTTGTGTACTGCAGTACGGGTATCATTCCAAGTTTTGAAGGGAAGATCTAACCATTTCCTCACACAGTCCTCTACCTCACACAACTCTCAACCCCCGAATTTCTACCGCTACAAATTTTGTTCGGAAGTCGATCAGTAGCCTCTGAAATGAGCGATGAAAACTACAAAGATTTTTCGTTCTTGGCATAGTACTGACCTTGTGTGGAAATTTGATCCAAATTCGAGCGGTACTTCCCAAGTTAGAGGCGGTCCAAGGACAAACCGACGGAAACTAGTGACATGTTTTTTCATATTGTACATTTCATATAACATCTAAACTTCATAATATCTCATTTTCTAAATTGGTCGCAATTACAATGCTTCCTCCTTCACTGGCATAGCAAGTAAAATGAATAGTACTCCCCAGATTTTGGTAAGTATGTAGTCAAATATATTCCACTATTTGTATAGTAAATATGCTTCAATAAAAAACTGTTGACTTTGTTGCTTTTAACGTCTTCTGAAGTCCCCTTAACCGCCGTAAAAAATAAACTAGTGGAGTGCTTAGTTAAACCCCAAAATATTCAACTAAAATCTGATATCGTGGTCCCTGGGATAAATGAGTCGGATATGATCAATACAAATTAAGTCCTTTAACGTATAACCTCGATTCACATAATTTCATCTAAATCTCTTAAGTATTTTAGAAGTAATTAAAAATGTATAGAATGAAAGAAATGAACTTGAACAATCTGCAGTAAGGACGCCGTAATATACTTTAGTTTACATACACTTTTTCTTCAGTTTAATAAGAAGAATAAGATTCGTACACATTGAAAATAAAACTATAAAAAAATATTTAGGTTAACTTTTTAACATACAGTGTTTCAAATGCATTCCATTAAAAACCCATTCACTGGACCCGGGTTCCAAGGTTTTTGTGTATTTACGTCTAACCGACCACCAATAAATGCAATGTATAACAGTGCAAGCCATTTATTGATGGCAGGAAATCCATAACTATATTTATTATTTATTTAGTATTATTTACTTACTTACTACAAAAGAATAGACACCTAAGCTATAAGCTTGTGTATGTCTCACAATATACAAATTCAATGCATGGCTAATGGTGATAAAGTGTATTATGAGCAAATGTAACTAAAAAAAAAATAAAAACATTAGATAGAAACGAAATGACTGGGTTGAGTCAATCTACAATCGATGCAAGCATGTCAAAGCTATTTAAGATGAACTTCTTAATTCTTTTTTGAAACTATACTTCGAGAGGATTTTAGGTTCTAGGGGTAATTTATTATACAACCTAATACCATCAAACTTTATGCATTTTTGGCAAACAGATTTATTCAGTCTGGTATAAGTGTAACTATATTTATTTTAGTTCTTGTTTCGTAAGCGTGGCTGGTTGGAACATTGTTTCTGGAGTGAACAAATTTCAGAGCAGCAAAAATATATAAACCTGTAACATTCAAAAGATCGTTTTCAAAGTAAACGAATCTGCAACTTGACCTTCATGGGATACGAAAAATAGTCCTGACAATATAATTTTGCGTGTTTTGTAATATTTTTAAAGTACTAGTGTATGCGGCTTCTCATATACTTACCCCGTAGACACCACAAACGAGTTATATATTGAGAGAAGACTCTTTCTGCTTAACATCTAAGAATGAAACACTTATGAATAATTATTCTTAATTTCGATGCCAAAAGCTCGGCATGACTCTGCCGGTTTAAATTACTGTCAACAATGATTCCCAAGTATCCAATAACTTCAACTCTTTCAACAGTGTCAGCACTATCATTTATAATTAATGTTCGGAGGTGTAATGGCTTTGGTTCGAGAAAACGTCACATACTTAGTTTTAGAGATATTAAGTTTAAGGAAATTGTTATCCAACCAGCATTTGACCTTATTTAATAACAACTCGGCATTCCGTATTGCGTCATCCTATGAATGACCAGTGCAAACTAAAACAGTATTGTCTCCATATGATATCATTTGACAATTCCATCGAAGTAGTTCATACAGGGTTTGTCCGGAAAGTAAGAGGACTGAGTCGATTTAAAAAAATGTTTGAGCCAATCGTTACAATTCTTTAAAAACTTTCAAAATAGGCTCCTTCTGCGTCGATGCAGCGCTGCCAGCGCAATTTCCAAGCATTGAAGGCGTCACGAAAGGCATTCTCCGGAATAGCCTTGAGAGCCACGGTGCATGCTGCTTGGATCTCCTCTGTCGTCTCAAACTGCTTGCCTTTCATCGGTCTTTTCAGGCGAGGAAACAAAAAAAAGTCCTGGGGTGCCACATCTGGGCTGTAGGGCGGCTGCGGAAGCGTTGGGATGCCGGCCTTGGTCAGGTAGCTGTTCACAAGAAAGGCGGTGTGAGCCAGGGCGTTGTCGGCTGCGATATCTTGTCGGACCCGACTGACCCTTCGTTTGAGTCTCCTGAGCACTTCCACGTAAAACTTGGCGTTGACGGTTTGTCCAGGAGGAACAAATTCATGGTGGACGATGCCTTTGATGTCAAAAAAGACAATGAGCATCGTTTTCACTTTGGATTTGCTCATTCTTCCCTCTTTTGGGTGAGGAGACGCCGTCGTGTGCCACTCGGAAGGCTGCCTCTTTGTCTCGGGATCATACTCAAAGATCCACGACTCATCACCTGTGATTACGTTATTCAAAAATTCTCGCCGCAATTTCTGGTCGTCAGGTTTTGGGACCATCTTCGCGCACACCTTGTGCATGTTCAAATGCTGTGTCACAATGTCATGAACCACAGATTTTGGTAAATTTAACATCTGGGCAAATAAACGAATAATTAGTCGACGGTATGAGTTTCTCTGCTCTAACTAACGCTGCATTTTCGGCTTGTACCACTCACAGAAACACGTCGCACCAAAATGGCTGTCCTGACTCTCCAAGTGCTCGAAGACAACTGACCAGCCGCTCATTCGTTAGCTAGGAATGCCCTCTACCGAATCCTATTACTTTCCGGACAATATGTATGTATATGTATATGAGGAACAGTGTTGGTCCCAAAACCGTCCCCTGAGGTACACTTATTTTGATCTTTTGAATGCTGCTTAAATCTGACCCTACCTTAACTTGTTGTAATCGATCAGCCAAATAGTTCTCAAATAAGCTCAGAACTCCACTACGCACTCCAACACTTTCTAGTTTCTTTAATAAAATGTTATGAGATACTGAATCGAAAGCCTTTGAAGATCTAGGAAAACTGCAACAGTCTTATTTCCATCTTGGTAATTTTCAAGCACTTGTCCTATAAGTTCTTGTAGAGATTGCACTGTATTGCAATTTTTGCGGAACCCGAATTGACAGTTCGATATTATGTCATAACACACAAAAGAACAAAGTCTGCTATTCAAGCACTTCTCAAAAATCTTCCCAAATACATTGATAACTGAAATAGGTCTATAATTGAACATATTGTCTTTACTTCCAGATAAAATATTGGTATCACTATGCTTTCTTTAAATTGGCGAGGAATTACTGAGGATCTCAAACAGAGGTTGATAATGTGAGTTATAGGGTGACTGATATACTTCATGATCATCTTGATAGTTTTAGTGTGTAAGCCATCTTTTCCGGGTGCGGTATTATTTTTCAGATTACAAACTATTTGCTGTAACTATGTTATCCACTGGAGTTAGAAACATAGAGTGAGCAATGTTCACGACATGAAGATCTGATGTATCAAGACTTGAGTTTTGATCAATCTGTTATTTGCTTACCTATATCAATAAAATATTAGTTACCTCATTAATAACATCTTAGCTTTTGCTATAGTTATTACCTGCTAAAATGAATTTTTGTGTGTAATATTGATTTTTAGAGATCTTAAGATTAGTTACTCTGTTTCTGTAGGAGATATAGGACTGTCTCAATATAAAAGTATCATTATCTTTCGTCAAACTCGGTTTCAACTCATCCCTCTTCTTGATCGAAGTAAGAATACCGTCAGTCATCTACGGCTTGCATTTTCTAGTCTTACTATTTATTTTTAAATGATACATTTCAATATTTGTACATATCCATTATTTATTCGAGGATATCTTCCAAGATGTCGGTACTTGGAAATGTGATCAGGGACAAAGCACCTTTCTGAACAGGATCGGCGACAAATGCTAATTCCCGATGAGAGCGCGGATCTTTATGAAGTTTGTGTTAACTGTTGCTCTGATTTTTTGTTTTGATACTCCGTCTTGTATTGCTCGTACACGCGCGTTTACACGCGACCATCAGTATATTAAGGTGATTCTTGCTCGTATATGGACTTACCGCTGTATATCTAGCGGGAATATTAAATCAAATATGTATACTCCATAAATAACTGCTGTATAATCTACTAGAATTTTGTTTATTCTAGGTGGTGCTTGAACAATATTTTAAAGGCACATGACCTCATTACCACCAGTGAAAATGTTTGACATAGTTGCTGCAATTCAGTTGTAGAAAGATAGCTAAGCTATGTATTTGTATATTTAGTGACAAAATGTATTTGGCTTCTTTGATGTCGTGTACATTTGTCCAGTCGTCAAGGCATGCTTCTGATGTCTTACAAAGATATCTCATCCCAAGCTAGCTGTTTATACTAATAGCTGCTAACGTTGATAGAGGATGAGGTAAAGAGGTCGCTCTGACTGTTATTGAGGTACCTAGTTTACTATAGATCTAGCAATATATGGTCGATGGGGACAGTCGGAATCTTGTTGGAAAAAAGATTTCAGGCGTTTCGAGAAATGGTAAAAGATAATAATAATAATAATAGACGTCTTTATTTATCCGCAATTACACTGTAGTATAGCCAAATGTCAGACTTACATGGCGAAGCTTAGCACTTATAGTCTCTAGCAGATGTTCAAAAGTATGCACTATCCACAAACAGATTTGGTTCATTACATCGAAAGTAAAAATTAAAAAAAGAAAAAAGCATCGTTTTGTAAAATTTGAGTAGTATTATTGACATTATCTGGGTTAAAATAATGGAGCAATTGCGTATCGACTGCGAATGACTGCACATGAGAATTATCAATACTTTTGCTTAAGTCGAACGTATACATGAACAACAGCAGCGGCCCCAATACCGAGCCCTTAGGTACGCCTGAGGGAATTATTGTCATTGGAGACATTTCTTGGTTGAGAAAAACACACTGAGTTCTTTGATGAAGGTAACTGTCGAAAAATGAAAGGGATACACTGTCAAGACCTATGTAATTTAATTTAGCAAGTGATAATTTTTTATTGATGCTGTCAAAGGCTTTCGAATAGTCTATAGAGATTAACGCTAGTGCCATCTTCTTATCTAAGGAACTTAAAATATTGTGAGTAGGGCAGATGTTGTACTATATTTTTTTCTAAAACCGGTTTGAGTATCGAGAAGTATAAAGAATTTTTCTACGTAAGCGGTCAATTGGAACCTTATTTTTTCTACAATTTTGGATAAAATTGGTAATAAACTGATAGGTCTGATATCATTATACTCAGTGGGTTTCATTTTTTTAGGAATTGGAATAATTAGAGCTTGTTCCCATGTGTTTGGAAAGTAGCCTTTTTCCAAACAGACGTTAAAGATGTGGAGGATGTGGCGGAGAATTACTGGCAGGCAAAGCTGGATTATTGACAGGGATATACCATCAATTCCCTTCGTATCAGATTTAAGGCTCCTTATCGCCTGTAATACGTCATTTGAACTAATTTTATTCACAGAAAAAATATATTCAGAACTTAATTCATATTTGAAATAGTCCTCGCTAGTGTATTAACAGGTTTTTAGCTATAAACAGACATAAAATAATCATTAATTTTGGTAGGATCATTGCTGGAAGCGTTGCTTTACTACGGAAATTTATATCAAGTTGTTGAGAGACTTCCAAAATTTTTTTGAATCATTTTCATGTGCCAAATTTTCAGTATTATGTCTCTTTATTCCTCCTGATCATTTTAAGAGCACGGTTTCTAAGCGATTTGAAGTTATTATAGGCGTCCATGGTCTTATTTGCTTTAAGATGAGGCTCTAGCATTTCCTGGTTTATTTATTTATACATAATTCTCCAACAGACAAATCAAATTACAGGGCAATATAATGGTAACTTAGTTAATAGTGTGCATACAAGAACCACCTAAAACGAACATGAAAAAGATAGCTATTGTAATAGTTCCTGCAGTTTGACAAGAACTTTAGTGATCAAAATTAATGTCGGAACTGTCTGCTATCGAATTATAATAATTATTGCATACAGATTAGAGCGAAGAATATTAGGTACTATTTACCTAGATATGGTAGGTACTGCAGTAGAAACTTACGAGCCCTTCTCGAATTTGAACGCGGTATAAAAAAAAAGGTTTGGTGTATCCTCTCTGTCGTGCAAAAGCTTACGGAGGAATATCAGACCAGCAATAGAACGTCTTAATTGTAGAGGCTCTAGGATGAAACGTCGCATCCGAACAAATTGAGTTAATCTCTTTCTACTTTTTCTAAGATATGCATAGAAAGGGTTTCATATAAAAAAAGTACTAAAATTTTGGCCGCACCAGCAAAATAAAGAGTTTTTAGTGCTGTTTCGTTAGAAAAAGACTGGCAGTTATGCATTATGAGACCTAGAATCCATATCGCTTCGTGTACTGCAGAAAAGTCCAACCTGCAGAAAAAAACGTACACCAAGAGCTTTAGTCTCTGTTGTTCTCTCCAAAACCGCATTATTTATGGAATAATAAAAAAAAATCGAGTACATTTTGCACCTATATGAACAACCTTTACACTTGGAAATGCTCAAGAAGAGAAATGTCTCACCATTGTGTATCTAGATCCCCCCTAAGGGAAATACATATCTCTAAATTTGTATTTTTGACATACATTGTGAGATCACCTGAGACTGCGGATTCTAGGCATGATAATGCAATGAAACAACAATGAAACAAATGGAATAAAACAGAAAAATCACTGAGTATTAAGTAAATATGTTCACATTGTTCGGATCCTGATATGACATAAAAAGTCTAGTTAATAAGTGACAAAGTTGTGTCTACGGGGGATGTTTTTTAAGTTTTGCATATAGAAACATAGTGGGCCGCGCGGATCGAACGTCAGTACTGAATCTTAACCTCATTCTTTAGTAAACTTAAATTCAAAGTTTCACAACAATACGTGCAGTGTTCTCACGATAGTGAATTTTTAAGTGTCACCAAGTCATTGGAAAAATGGAACTCAGCCGAGAACATTTTCGCGGCGTAACTTATTACAACTTTCAGAAACAATTATCGCAACAAGAAAGCCTTGCTGAGTTACTGTCTGTTTTCGGCAACGAAGCGCCACATCAGTTAACAATTTCCCGTTGATATGGAGAATTCAAACATGAGCGGGTGAGTCTTAGCGACGATCCCAGGGTGGGTGCACCAAAAACGGCAGTCACCCAGGAAAACGTCAGTGCTGTGCGCAAACTCATCATTGAAGATAAACATGTGACATATCGCGAGATTGAGGCGTCCTTGAAGATCTCAAAGACCTCAATTCAAAAAATTTTACATAAAGAATTAGGAGTAAGAAAATTAGTTTCTCGTTGGATACCCCACCTGTTGACTGACGAGCAGAAAGCAGCCAGGGGTTAATTGGTGACAAAAAACGCTTGACCGTTTCAATTCCGGAAACTCAAAAAATGTGAACAGCATTGTTAGTGGAGAAGAATCATGGATTTACTGTTATGAACCAGAAAATAAACGACAGTCGGCTGTTTGGGTGTTCCAAGGTGAAGAAAAGCCAACAAAAGTCATCCGTTCTCGAAGTGTTTCTAAAAATATTTGTGTCAAAAGAGGGGCATATTGCAACAATTCCTCTTAATGAGCAAAGAACTGTTACTGCAAATTGGTATACCACCATTTGTTTGCCAAAAGTCATCACCCAGCTTCGAAAAATCAACCCCGAAAGAAGAATCGTCCACCACCAAGACAATGCAAGCTCGCACACAGCCCAAAAAACAAGGCAGTATTTAACGGAAGAAAACGTGGAATTATTGGACCATCCTCCATATAGTCCCGATCTAAATCCTAACGATTTCTTTACTTTCCCGAAAATTAAAAACAGACTGCGTGGTCAAAGGTTCCAGTCACCAGAAGAAGCAGTTGACGCATCCAAAAATGCCGTTTTGGATCTGCCAGGAAACGAGTGGAATAAGTGCTTCGAAAATTGGTTCGAGCGCATGCAGATGTGTATTAATCTTCGTGGAGAATACTTCGAAAAACAATAAAGTCATTTAAAACTACCTAGCGTGTTGTTTTAATTCCATATGCAAAACTTAAAAGACGCTATACAAAAACTAAAAATGTTTTGCATCCGAGGGGGAGGGGTTACGGTGCTATTGCTTATCCCCCAAGATCTTAGACTTGCAGCAAAAAATTAGGAAACGGAAAAGAAGGAGAGGAAGAGGAAAGGATGAGACGGAAAAAGGAGGAGAGAGAGAGAGTGAACAGAGAAAATTAGAATGAAATTGTGTCATCTGAGCGAAACGGCTTTAAAATATCCCCTGAAAGTAGGCAATCACACTACTCATAACAGCCAGTTCTCGGTGTGCGAAGTTGTTTGACAGTTTTGGGATGGGTGGCAGAAGCATGGCGGATCTTATTAGCCTTAAACAAATAACTAACTTCTCGGTGATCTAGACTCTGGAAACGGGCTTTTGAACTCTTTAATACCTATTCAATGTATATTGTTACAATATATAATTCGTTTATACAATCTATATTGGTATGTACTTATGTGAATATAACCAATACCCCGATATTTGTTTAAACAAACTAGATAAGGGATTTACTTCTTGAAATGCCCAACTAGTTTGCCTAAACTGCTAATATTTACTTATATTGATGTTAGCTCTCCTTATTTTCCTGCTCTTTATCTTTATCTTGCTCTTTCTTTTTAGTAACACCAGGCAATCCGCATGTCTGTAGCTTCTCTTTAATCACATCAAGTGGAATTTTCTTCTGTTTGTTCAGCTTATCCAAAAAAATTAAAAATTGCGGATATGTGATTGTTCTTGACTCGAATTCGTTAAAGAGTACCCCGGTATCTGTCATTGTGAGTCTCCTGTCGAAAAGTTCTGCTTGCTTGAACCACTTGTCTATCTATTATAATTAAAAAATATTAGGACAATTCCTATGCAAGTCCAATTATTTGCTCGTCAAAGCCGAGTCACTAGAAAAGTGTTTAGTCCATATTTATAAAAAAAAGTTTTACCGGTTGCTTTCAAAAAATAAAGCAATTCCTTCAAAGTATATGCATAAAAAGAAGTGAAGGAAAAGGTCTCGCTTTTTTTTTTTTGTCGATCGGTTTGGCATTGGAAGTTATCCATTTGCCACAGATGTGTTTAAGGTCTCGCTTCTGTAAAGTAAAAGGTGTTAACGTTTTCTTATTTATAAAAAGAAGCATTTGCTTAAAAACTAAAGGATTTGCTTCTAAAAAAAGGAATCTAGGTTACAGCAACTTTTCTCATTTTATCATTAGTTGTCCCGGCATCTTAGAGCCAGCATCTTAAAATTTGTGCATTTTCGTTTAATAAAATCTATTTGTACGGGCTTGTTTAAGTGATCTTTGGTTGATTAGTCGCAGTATTGTGTTAGTTATGGCTAATATGGTACATTTGCGTACAAGAAAATACTACAAACCAAGACGTACACCTAGTGAGTCAGATTTCAAGACGTTGTTTAGATTTGAGGAGGAAAATGTGGTGTGGTTGGCAAATTACTTTCTTTGCATGGATTTCGAAACTCGTGGAGCAGCCCTATCACCTGTGCAGAAAATGAAAATATACTAAGTGACATATAAATCCGAACACCCAGTTTAAATGGTTTTATTTTAATAAAATTTTGTATAAGTACTTAATGAAGCATAATAAGTAAATGATAAAAATTTAAAAATGATTGCACTGCTTTAAAGCCCTTTGACCTTTAATAATGTGTGGATGCACCCTGATGTGCTACGCATTCTCCAACGCGCCTAGGCATGCTTCTGATCAGGTGGTCAATGTCCTCCTGTGGTATCTCATTCCAGGCAACCACCAACTCCTCTCGAAGTGCTTCTAGAGTCTGAGGAGGACATTGCAAATTGAGCAATCTCCTACCCATCATATCCCACACGTGCTCAATTGGGGATAAGTCGGGAGATCTTGGTGGCCATGGTAACAATGTGACATCATTATGTTGAAAGAAGTCTTTTGTGACTCTTGCAACATGTGGTCGGGCATTATCTTGTTGGAAAGTTGGATCTGCCAGGGTGTCAAGATAGGGTAAAAGATGGGGTTCTAGAACTTCGTGGATATAACGCTGCGCGTTCATGTTACCTCTGATGAAGATTAAAGGTGACCTGGAACCATAAGCTATAGCACCCCAAATCATAACTCCAACAGTGTGATGAACATGTCTTTCAACAAAAAACTGTGGATTCCTCCTTTCACCACGTCGCCTTCTAACCCTGGCACGACCATCGTGCATGCCTAAACAAAATCGAGACTCGTCACTAAAGACAATACTGTTCCATTCCTGATCCCAGAGTGACCGTTGTCTGCACCACTCAAGGTGATTACGTCGTTGTTCTCGAGTTAAAGGGAGGACACAGTGTGGCCGGTATGAAAACAATCCAAAACTTCTCATTCGTCGGTAAACACTTCGCATGCCAATAGGTCTTCCGTGTTCGGCAAACCATTCATTTGCAATGGACCTGGTAGTGGAGAAACGGTCTTTTAAGGCCAATAATCTTAGGCGGCGATCTTCACGGTCTGTTGTTCGACGGCGGCGTCCAGTGCCCCTTGCTCTTTGCGTACGGCCTTCTCGAAGCCATGCCTGACAACACCTAACCACAGTGTCTACACTTCTTTGCACTCTAACTGCAATTGCCCGAAAAGAAAGTCCAGCTTCCCGAAGTCCCACTATACGGCCCCTATCAAACTCACTAAGTTGACGAAATCGTACAGGTCTCCGTACTCTAGGCATCGTAACCGATCGTAAAGGATGTCAAGAACCAAAATCCGCCAACGTTGATTCTTTACTGCGGCTGAAATATTCATTTTTAGAGCGTTATTGAATTAAAAGAAAGCAGTATAAAAACCGGAATGTCCAACTGATAAGGCTGAAAATTGTTTCACTTGTTATTTACAGTAAGATAAATACATTCACCAACTTTTATCAAAATAAAACCATTTAAACTGGGTGTTCGGATTTATATGTCACTTAGTATATTTCTGCGGTATTGTGCGAACCCTGGATTTCAGAGCGGAATAGCTGAAGAATTGGGATGTTCGCAGCCCACAGTGTCCAGAATATTTCATGACGTGCTAGAGCGAATTGTACAACAAGCTGGAGTATTTATCAGGTTCCCAAATACAGAAAATCAAATTATGGAGGCCAAAGAGAAATGGTTGACAAGGTTCCGTCCCTAGGGTATCGAGATTGTGTAACATCTCATCCTCAGAGCAGCCGCACTGCCCTGGCACTTAGGCTTCTGCCTGCGCGGCTACTCCGGAGTAAAAAAAAACTGTTTTTGAAAATTTTATCTTAGTAGTAAAAATTCGATAAAACCGGGGTCGTGCTCGTTTATAACGTATTTCAACTCTTATGCTTATGATTATGATTTCGACTATGGTTATTAAAAGGTTGTATAAACCTAGCACTACTCACCTGAATGATGGTGATTGTTTTTCCGTCTGCTTTCTCTGAACCAAATTTGGCAAAGTAGATGAACTGTTGATCAAGTTTCGTACTACCAGCCATAAAGCTTGTCAAATATAAATTATGTGCTTGGGATTTTCTTTCGCGTCATTGCAGGGACAGTTGTCACAATATTCTCTGATTGACATTTTCACGTTCGAAATACGCTTGGCCATCTCCACTTACCATTAGCACTCTTAAAGCTGCGTATGGACTAAGCGTTGCGATTCGCAGGTGGTATAACAAAATTATAGAAGTCCTTGCATTGCATAGTCCTATAGTAGTGCTATTAAGTAATTATACGAATCTTTGGATATCAAATACTCATTTCTTTGTTCAGTCGAGTGTATAGTTATGTGCTACCAGATTTTCAAATTTTTGCAGCTTGGTTTTGAAATGTTTAAGAGCATCTTCAAGCAGAGCGAGCGTTTGATTAACAATTAAAAACAAAGGTTTAATATTATTGAATAATTTCTCTCTTTGGGATTTTGTTCATAGAAAATGTATAAAACAATCGATTTTCTTAGAACCCGTGTCTGAAAATAAAATAAAAAACGCCATACGCAGTTTGAGAAATAAAAAAAGCCCAGGTCTTGATGGTATACGACCAGAAATGTCAAAGAAAATTTCATCCGAAATTAGTAAGCCCTCTCGTATATAGCGAACTTGATAATTGAATCGGGAGAACTTCCAAATGATTATAAAATAGAAGTACTAAAACCCATCCACAAATCCGGTGAAAAAACAGATACTAACAATTACAGGCCCATAACTCTAATATGCAGCTTTGCAAAAATTATTGAGAAAATTATAAAAACACGATTTTTTTGATAAACATAATCTGATTAGTGAAAAACAATATGGATTCCAAAAAACAAGTCTGCCCAAGACGCAATTTCTTTTTTGACATCAAAATTATACAAATTACTGGACCAAAGTGAATATACCCTGTGTGTGTTTTTTGATCTAGCAAAAGCATTCGACACAGTAGACCACTTGCGACTATTAGAAATCTTACACGACTCAGGAATTAGAGGCAAGGCTTATAACCTCATGAAAAGTTACCCTTCCAACAGAACACAGTGCGTACAAATAAATAATTCCTTAAGCACAAACAAATTGATAACGTATGGTGTCCCACAAGGGACAGTGTTAGGCCCCTTATTATTTACACTTTACATTAATAGCCAGCTGAGCTTAAAATCTGAAGGGACAATCATATGTTTTGCAGACGATACTGCTATCTTTTATTCAGATAACAACTCGTGGGATGATCTAAAAGTGAAGGTTGAAAGAGACTTAACAATAATTGCAGACCTGTTCATACATGCCTAACTATTAACTTTCAAAAGACGATGTTCATGCCATTCACAAATCACAGAAACAAATTACCATCCTTTGTATCTTTACAGATTAACTATGATAATATAAATGCTCAAATAAATTTAACAAATAAAATAAAATATTTAGGTGTATATTTAGAGTCGCATTTAAAGTGGAATATACATATTGATCATGTAATAACCAATTTGAGACCACTATTGTTTAAATTCAAGTATCTAAACAAATATTTGGATAAAAAAAACAATTTTATATCATGCTATGACCGAAAGTCGTATAAGTTACGCAATATTAGGTTGGGGTGGAGCACTTAATAACCAAATTAATAAATTAGAAATTATCCAAAAATAATTTTTAAAAATAATCTTTGACAAGCCACTCTTATACCCATCTGATCAGTTGTATTCTGAAGCAATACTAATAGACCCTAGGCAACAATTAGAAATAATCTTATTGCGTTAAATCACTTATATCAAACTAGAAACAAAATCAACAACATTAACCTTTCACCTCAAAAAGTATAGGCCAAAGATGTCATACTTACCTTTCCAGTAGATTATATAACATATTACCAAATTATATAAGAAATATTTCAAACAAAACAAAATTCAAAATTGAAACCAAACAATGTATAATTGAAAAAAATCGACATCAAATTGCAAACATGATACGTATGAAAGAAATTTAAAATTAATGTAGTAATAAAAAACCTCCAATGTTCAAGTATATGTCTGTATGTATATATGTATGTATAGGTGTGTATATGTGTATGCGTATGTATATACAGGGTGGCGCATCGAAAACGAAACAGACGCATTTAATGGCAACTCATATTTTTTTTTGGAAAAACGCTCAGACCCGTCGATTTTGTTTTCGAGGCGGACACAAGTTTCGCAAAAAATCACGTTAGCATGTGCAGCCCCCTAAGCGAGGGTGACATCACCCCCAAATTCTTAAATGGAAAGGGGGGTCGAGTGATACCTTATTTTAAAGGTCTTTCAATTCCCTTTATAATGATATAAAATTAATGTACTTCGGTTCAGTAGTTTTGAAGATTTATTGATTTAAAACTCAAATAAAACTAATACATCATCATTAGTGGAGATCAATACATTTGGCAGCAAAGTAACTTAAAAATGAAGAATGAACTGACCCGTTACGCACGTACATGTTGAAAATGGCCACCATGACTCTCCATGCAATAATAAAGATTTAGCTCAAAACGTTGCCGCAGATTTTGCAATATTTGAGGAGTAATTTGAAGGTACTCATTCACAATTCTTTGTCGCAGGTCTTCTAATACTGTTGGCTGAGTAGCATAGATTTTGCTTTTTAAATGACCCCACATAAAGAAATCCAAAGGTGATAAATCTGGCGATCTTGGGGGCCATTCAATGGCACCTCTTCTACCAATCCATCGATCTGGAAACGTCTGATCTAAATATTGTCGAACACATAATGCGTAATGTGGTGGGGCACCATCCTGTTGGAACATCAACCTATTCGCAATGTACCGCCGGTCATTTTGATTATGGCTGTTAATGCAGGATCTATGGCGTCTTAAAGTAATTCCAAATACATTTCACCGGTCAAATTTCCAGGTAAGACAAAAGGACCAACTAAATGATCGCCAAAAATACCAGCCCAAACATTTAATTTTTGTGGCTGCTGTGAATGAACCTCATGATAAATTCTGGGATTAGAATCGGAGCAATATTGGCAGTTATGACGATTTACTACGCCATTTCAGAAACAGGAACATTCGTCGGAAAAGCAAGTGTTGAATAGAAAATGTTCATCGTTTATAATTCGTTCACTCATATCTTCTCAAAATTGTAATTGCCAATCAAAATCGTCTTCATTAAGTTCTTGTACGGATGAAAACTATGGGCCTTTAGAATCCGTTGGACAGTACGTCGACTAACACCACACACAGTCTCCAATTTGCGGGTACTTAACGTAGGATCTACATAAACTTGCCCTAAAACCCCCACTTCTATTGCTTCGTTCCTTATGGGATTTTCAATGTTGCTTTTTTTATTCGCGACTGACCTAGTTTTCCGAAAGTTTAGCTACAAGTTCTAGAACAGATTTTCGATGCACGTTACTGTTTTTATGTCGCTCATTAAATATTTCTGCTGTTCTATTAGCGCACTGATTATTTCCGAAAAATATTTCGATAATTCCAACTATTTCTGCTGTGGAATATACCATGGTTAATTTATGTAATAAAGCGTTACAAGTTGTTTTAGCACCAAAGTTTGGTCAAATCAATCGTAAACTATGTACTAAATTCCTATTTAAAATAAGTACGAGATATTTCCTTATCTTTCTTCAAGAAATAACTTTTTTGCCACAAAAAAACGCTCCATTAGTTATTTTCAACAACAAAATGATAATATGTGTATGTGTATATGTGTATGTGTGTATGTATATATGTATATTTGCATTTACTTATGTGTTTGTATGAATATATATATATATAACAACAAGTAGGAAAATAATGGGCAAAATCCGCAAAAAGGAGGAAAGTGGATTCGAGCAGAAAATAGGATAGGTAACCCGAGCGATACGTATTTCTGCTGGTTGGATTCATCAGGCCCGAAATGAATGCACATATGAAACTACAAAAGTAGATACACATGCCCACACATCCGGATAAGGGTGTAACCTGAGGAAACGAAGTTGTAGGGGGAAAAAAGTCCACAACAAGAGCCAACCTACACATTGTAGTATAAAATGGCTATACGACCTCGTAATTTTCAAGGAGACGTCTAACCACAACCACGCGGCCGGTTATAGCCACTTGCTGTGGTACTTCAAGCCCAAAGGATCTACAAAGAGAATATGATCATGCGGAGAAAGGTATATAACAACAAGTAGGAAAATAATGGGCAACATCCGCGGATTGTGTAGTTTCATATGTGCATTCATTTCGGGCCTGATGAAGCCAACCAGCAGAAATACGTATCGCTCGGGTTACCTATTCTATTTTCTGCTCGAATCCACTTTCCTCCTTTTTGCGGATTTTGCCCATTATTTTCCTACTTGTTGTTATATACCTTTCTCCGCATGATCATATTCTCTTTATATATATCCTTGAATTTCTTTCGGTAGGAGGCAATGTGTTGCAAAAGTACACTCTTATAACTTAAACTTAAGCTTTCGAATATTTATGTCTTCATCGTCTGGAGCTGGAAATAATTATTTACAATAGCAACAATTAACAATTAGGAGGAAAAATAGTTACTTACTAAGTCGGCGAGATTGTTTCTGAAATTCTTTTTAAACAACAGTGATGGGAACACACAGTCGACGATAAAAAACTGGACTGATGCGGTTCGATTAGGACGGAATTATTTTATTATTAAGTGGTAAATCATTTTGAAAGGGTTTTTTACTTAAACGTTGATTGATTTTGGAAGAAATTATTTTGGAATTATTACAAATTTGAAATTTTCGTTTCTTCATATTCTTTCTCGGGGTGTCAATTATCAAATCGGTTATATCTCGAAAACTGTTGATCCTAGATAAGACTTTATAAGAACCTTATTCGTTCAAAATAACCAACAAAAGCCTGAAAGAAGCTTTGTTCAGAGAGAAACATTGGATTCAAAAATGTATTCAAACAATTTTAGACGCAATTTGGGGCCTGGCAACATGCAGATTCGCCAATAGAGGTACTTTTTAATAAGATCATGCGAAAAATCGATTCAGAATATTTTTCCAAGCGGACGAGAAGTGGATTCAGCCTTTCTACACTACAGAGCCACAGGCCCTCCATTTCATATTATCGCAC